TGCGCGGACCCGGTGGGTCATCTTGCATGTCTAGATCCGAGTTGTTCTCGATTACTGTATGCGGGGTGGTTTGCAACCAGCACGTGGGGCCCCGGACCCTGAAACGGCACGGAGGCGACAGGAACAGTTCCCGCGGTTTTCGCCGGAGGAGTTGAGGGTAAGCGCTTGCGGCGTTTGGCGACAGCGAGGGCAGCACCGTCCGAGATCGTCCGAGTTGGGCGGCGCAGAAGGCTGCGAAGTTAGATATAGTGATGTTATGCAAAAACCAGGAAAACAGATTTTTTTATTTGGCTGTGCAGATATACGTTTGTTCTTCCAATCTGGATGCGCGGCCAAAGATTTCTGGATACGAGACCATGCTCCATTACGACCGAAGCTCATCGCGGCGAAGTCCACGTCTGGGCTTCTCATGACACGGGTGTGCTTGCGATTGAATTCACCATGGTTCGCCGCCGTCGCGCCGGTGCTGATTTGTCAGCAGGCAGCCGCGTCCATAGGCAAAGTTTGCCTTAACATGGCCACCAAACGAAAGCTCCTGGGACCCTAGCCCCAATCTTTTGCGGAACGTGCAATTTATTGCACTTGCGCATATTTAGCCTCGGTGCGTCTCGCCTGTCCAGCTGTCGAACCCGAAAGCCAGATGGTCCTGGTAGTGGTTGGCGCGCACGTCCTCCCTCCCCGTAGCCGATCGCCGCCGCCTTCACTTTGTCATTTACGGGGCTACAGCGCTTGGCGAGGCGTTGTGTTGCGACGAAACACCCGTGTACGCGATGGAACGCGAGGGGCGGCCTCAGCCTTCAGCTGCTTCTCGCGACAGGGCCTACATCGCTGACGCTGCACCCTAGATCGCTGTCGCTGTAAGGCGCGAGCAGCGTACCCTGAGCTGATGCGAGCCGTGCGGGAAGCAGCGCATGCGGTGCGGTGCGGTCCGACTCTTGCTAGCCAAGCTTGGAGGATCAACCACGGTGCGGTGTCTCGCGCATGCCTCCGGATGGCAAGACTTGGCCCTGACTCCTGACACCGTGTGGACAACCTGCCCGTTGCCTCCCTGGAGATGCTTCTTAGCTTTTGAATGTTTTGGAACCCGTATTTTCACCGATCCGCACACGCGCTTTCCGAAGGGCAGGAGCTTGTCGCCGAATCTGCGTCGTGCCGTGCGTCCTCCAGTGGCGGGAGCACGCAGGGCGGCAGCGACGCACGGTGCTCCGAGCAGCCAAGGGGCAGCGTGGCAGCTGCAGCCAACCCTGCCTGGCCACAGGGCGCAGGGTGGCAAGAGCAAGTTGAGTGACGAGAAGGAGCGACTCAGCTCTCTAGCGCCCGCAAACGTCGCAGGCGAGGACGCGCAGTCGCTGCTGCCGATGTCGCATCAGCTTTTTGTTTTTGTCGCGGATTTTTTCCGGCACCAAAGGTCCAGGACACCGAGCTCCTGCTGGGGCACTCGCGAGGCCCCTGGCGGCTGCCAATTCGTAGAAGCTGCCGGCGCACGTCAGCGAGGACCTCGTGCAAATCCGGCGCTTCTCCGTTGACGTTGCATTCGTCAGCGAACGATAGCTCCAGCAAGGACGCTGCGACAGCGCGTTGCGCAGCGACTGCCACGAGCCCCGCCCACCGGGCTACCCACGTAATATGCATATCGCCGAGAAATCGGTTTCTCAATGCCATGCATGCGCCTGTGGGACAGCACACCAAAACGAGCCAGGGCAGTCCACGATGGGGTCGCAGGCGAGGGTAGTACCAGTATGAAGGGCAGACAGTTCGCATTTTTATGCGTAAAGCTTGCTGAAGACTCGAGCCATCTCGAAGCCATATGAATGCGGGTCAGACCGTGACAAACTCCCGCGTTTAGTTGGTCAAACGAGGCTTCAGCTTTTGCATTGAAGCTTGTCTCACAACAAAGAACGGAGGCTACATGTATCACAGAAGGACGTGAACAAGTGTAATCACCTTGGCGGTCTTGCAGCATGCCTGGCGCATGATATGATCATTCATGCATCCATGGTCCTTGCGAGGGAAACCAGGCGTCGCACATTGGTCAACCTGCACATGGCTGTATGACTTCTAGTTCTAAGCTCGTTTTTTGGCAAGACACCCGCCCGGGCTGGGATGTGTGCAATGCCCAACGCAAGCGACGGCAAACGTACCCCGAGCATGACCGGAGCCGCCGCTGCCGCCTCATTGTGTTCGGGCTCGAGGTGGGCAGACGCTGGGCTGGGGAAGTTGCCACCTTTGTCCGCCTGCTTGCCCGGGCGCGTGCAGCAAGTGCCCCTGCAGCTCGGCCAAGGCCGTTTGGGTTCTGCGCTGGAGTGGCTTCATCTCCGTTGCAGCAAAGCTTGCTCTCGCTTCCACTTTCCTGGAGCTCGGTGCTGCTGGCCCACCACCAGCTCTCCTTGCAGACGCTCGTTGGCAAGAGGCTCCCGAGCCCAGCGCCCTCCCTTCCCGTGCGTGCAGCGCGTCCCGTTCGCAAAAAGGTGCGCTGAAAAAGAAACATATTTGTACGGTCACTAAAAATCGTGAGCATGTCTGTGTTGGTTGGCCGTTTGGTTTGCAAGTTGTGTATGTTGACACACATGAAATTAAATGCACATACCGATTTGCTTCGATGCAACATTGCAGTTGGGCTTATCAACTTGCAATAAGCTTCGAGTTTATTCCCTTGTTCGTGCATCTTGATGCCAAGATTGTTGCGCGCGTGCTCACAGCCCTGAGCACGTTGTTACTTGCTGAAGGGTCTTCCCCCCTGCCGCTTGCCGCAGCGCGTGTCGCGCAACTCGCCCTCCGTGATGGTGGTCTCGGCCTTCGCAGTGCTGCCCTGCACGTGACAGCAGCTTTTGGGGCTTCCTGGGCTGATGCTGGTTCCCGTCCTCCGCGCACGGGACGCGCAGTTAATCGGCGCATTGGTGCCTGCCCTTGATGAACGCCGGGTTGTTGAGTGGTCACCGGTGCAGGACCTCTTGCATGCTGCCGACGCTCTCGCCGAGGCTGGGTTCGCGGTCCCGCGGTGGGTTGACTTGCCCCAACACGGACCTGCAGCAGCCGCTGACGAGGCTGACCCGAAGTCCCTCACCGCGGCTGGCAGCGCCCTGCTTCTCGCGCTCTCGACGGCCGTGCTGCTGCTGCTGAGCATCGCCGTGCTGTCGGCCCTGCCGAGCTCGCACTCCTTGACTCTCAAGCCGGCCCTTTCGCCGCCCGGGTGTTCACTGTCCGTCCCGCTGCGCCTGAGCTCGTCCTTGACTCTGCGGTCTTTCGGGTCTTGCTCTTTCGTCGTTTGTGGCTTCCGTTGCCTCTTGCCCCTGCTCGTTGCCGCTGCCGGAGGCCGCTCGATGTCTTGGGTGACCACGTCGCTGCGTGTCCTCGGTCTGGTGTTCTTCGGGCACGGGGCGGTCCGCTCGAGCGTGCAGCGGCTCGGGTTTGCCGTGAGGCTGGCGCTACAGCTGCCACCAACGTCCTTGTCCGAGATCTCAACCTCGATGCCCCCAGACATGACGAGCGTCGCATTGAGGTCATCTCCAATTGATTGCCATTGTGGGGTGGCTCCCAACTTGCTGTTGACACGACGTTGGTGTCGCCACTCACTTCTGCCGGTGTGCCGCGTCGTGGCGGCACTGCAGGCGCTGCATTGGTTGAAGCCCGCCGGGCCAAGGAACGCACTTACCCTGAGTTCGCGGGTGCCCACCGGGGCCGACTCGTTGTCCTTGGCCTTGAGGTTGGGGGTCGCTGGAATGCAGAGGCAGCCACGTTCATCCGTTTGCTTGCAAGGGCACGCTCTCGAAGCGTTGCTTCCTCGCAGCGGGCAGCATGCATTGCTGCTTTTGTCGCAAGGTGGTCTGGGTTTCTTTTTGTCGTAGCGGCGCCTTCCTTCGCAGCCAGCTTGCTGTCCTTTCCCATCTCCAACACTGCTAACATTGACGGCGGGCCGCCTCTCCTGAGTGACGTCCTCGCAGACTCGTCGGAGGTGCCGCCACTTGCTTCCCGGCTGTCGTAAGCTTCGGCTAGGTTAGGTGGGGTGGGGTGTTCTCCTCGATCAGGTTGCGCCCGGTAGCCTGCTGCATTGGGACCGCGCTCGGATGTTTGCAAAAGGGTCCTGGGAAAAAAATTGTTTGTGATGTATGCTTTTTCATGTGAGTGAGCATCGTTGTAAACACAAAACCCGTTGGTTGGCATGTCAACAGCGGATGCGCGTTTGATCCAGTGCAAACAACACGGACTTGCTGAAACAACATGGTTCGGTTGTCTGCTGTGTAGCTTGTTTTTTTTCGGCAAGATGCCGGAAGCATCATATTTGGCCGTCGTACCGACTTTCAGAATCTTGAGCACAACCGCGAGTTGTTGCTGCTTGGGCCTTTTGTTCTGAGTCAGCGAATTCACCTGCACTGCCACCGCAGGCATCAGCCAATTGATACTTGCAGAGAAGGTCCAAAACACCACCCATGGAATCATTTTTCAGTGCTCATGATTGCGCGACGAAGTGTGATAATGTTAGTGTTGCTTTGCTATCGCGTCTGATTAGGCGATAAAAGTACTAGGGTAAATTCAGACAGATTTCATCAACTTGAGCCATGGAGTCTGAGTGTGGTTGCAGTTGGCCAGCCGTTAAATGAGACTGGCACAGGCGCGATTCCGGGAACGACGGTTAAAACGTGAACCTCGAGTGTGACACGGCCTTGTCAGGTGTTGCAAGCTTTTCTAGTTCGGGCCTTATTCCGGCACGGTTTTAGGATGTCACTGGCCTTCTCCAGGATGCAACAATGCAATTCATACAATGTGCGTTGTGCTTCGTACTTATCAGAATCAAGTCAGGCACAAGCTGCACCAGGCAGCAGTGACAATTGAATTCTTGCACAAACACATACGTGGTGCATGCATTGCGTCTTGCAGCGTAATGCGGCTTGGGGATGTTGACGAGCACTGACAGCAATCGATTGCCAAGCCCACTCGAGTATTTTCGTGGAGCCATTGCAAGCATTGATCACTGATTACTCAAAACTGATTCCGGATATCCGATGGCCGTCGACATTGCAAGTCCGGATCCTTCTGTGCACGAGGTGCAGGGTTGGGACACCTGCAGCACGCTGTCCGTACTTGTTTGCTGCATGAACTCTGCGCAAGCAGGCAAACGAGGTTCAGGATGAGTGCCTCGGCTACACACCGGCCGTTAGTTGCTAAACCCTGAACACCTTTGTTGTCAGGTTCAGCCTCGCAAAGGAGTTCTATGACGCATACAAGAAGTACGCTTCACGCGTGCAGCCAGGGGTTGGTTGTGAGCAACACGAACTGGATGGCTTGACCCTTGTCGTGTGTTGAACTGGCATGCGTCTGTGGGACATTTACTGAGGTGCAGAGCTGTGTGACCTTGCGCTTAGGACTGTTCAGCTGAAGACAATCGCACACCATGTAATGCAGTTGAAGCTATTTTCGCCAAACGAAGAGCTGGATGACATAAGCAACTTGACCATTGTTTTGTCTTTGGATGCTGTTTGAGGGTGTGGCAACCTTGCTTTGCCACGTAGTTCAACTGCTCGCCAGGCACAACTGACCTCAAGTACATGCTTGTTCCCTATTTGCTCGCTGAGGTGGCTCCGTTGCAGTTATGACCGCTATGTTGTCTAGTCGTGATGCAGTGCTGAGCCTGGGAAGTTGGAGCTTTCCTTCGGGGTATGGTGGTGTGCAGGAGCGCGCAGAAGCATGTTTCTGTAGATCATCATTGAATCGTAAAGCAGTTTTGCATCACTATGGTGCAAGTCGTCACGACTTTCTGCCAAGCTTTCGCTCGCCTTCTTGGTTTTTGTCTCCAACAGTGACGACATGCTTGGGCCGAACTGTAAGAATTGGCAAGCGCTTTAACTTGTCCCGATCAGAGGCACTGAACAAGCGGTCTTGATTGACGGGTGCGCAACGACCCAGGGCGTAGGACTTGAGTTTATGCCCAAAACAAGCATGTGGTCGGTGACTGGCCTCATCAGAATCAGCTTCGTTCATACTTCTTGGTGCGGCACCCATGTTCGCTGCTTGCACATTGCAGATGCGTTTTTAAACATCGCCACGCCGAGTTCGAGCGATGTTTTCGGGTGCACCAAACAAGGACCGAGAATTGCACGGCGCTCGAAACGTGAAACCAGTGTATCAAGCCACCTAATCGGATTTCAGTGGTAGACCACTGGCTACAGAGCGAAACGAAGTGCTACGATCCCTCCGCAGATCGCAAGACACCATGGCGAAGCAGACTGCGAAGTGCACGACAGTGTGTGACGGAAGTGGCAATGGTGAAATCGTTTTCAAGAGCGATGCTCATGGTCCAGGGGTCCAGGATATGTGGTGCAGATTCTGATCGTAGTTGCACTCTCAGGCCTGCTTTGGCCTCGCCGCATCTTGTCGAGTCGCAGCAAACGGGCAAAGGCTTGCGTACGTCAGGTTTCCGAAAGAGTCGTGCAGGTACCGCAGGGTGACAGGATCGAGAGGTGGCTTGTGCTGCGGTTACGGCGACCAGAGTGTTGTTCCGAAATTTTCGCTGCCGAATGTAGCCGCCTGCGAGCGACCACCGCTGGGCCTGTGCCACTTCGGTTTGCGCCAGAACACGCAAGTGTGCAGATGTTACCTAACGTTTGCCGGGATGTTCGTACACATGGTGACCGCCCGGACGAGAGACTACACTCGCACAGTCGCAGAAAGGTGTGGGAAAAAGGAAGAGGACACGGCAACCTGAGTTGTGCATTCCAACATCCAGAAACATACTTCGATGAGAGCTGTAAACCCACTTCTTAGGATTTGCAGCTTCACCCGATGACACCCTAGAGTGGGCCAGAGGCGGTCAATAAGTTGCGTCATCATATGGTTGCTCTGAGGCGGCTGCTGCAGCACGAGATATTGCTGTCCGTGGGACGCATCTGCAAAATGCATTGGTATATTGGCGTGCCTGGGCGATCACTGGTGTATCTCGCATCTCCGGCTTCAAAAAAGTTGGCAAGACATCTCGGAGCCTGGAAAGAAACCAGGCATCTTCTAGCAGTAGTTGAAGGCATCCTTCGGACAGGTGCGTTCGCGGCCGATTGCTATCGCTTGGCCATAGGGCATTCAGACGATCATGCGTCCTTGGACCAGGACCCAACACATGCTCATGTTGTCCTTCTTCTTCCTTTTTTTGTTTTGCCGTTGTTGGACAGGCACCATTCGCTCGCTAATTAGATTCAGTCGCGAGCGACCAATGGCAGGAGCAGCCGCCAAGGGATGCCGCAGCCCGCCGAGACGAGAAAATTGCGCGCCACAAACGGTGTAAGGAACTCGATGCCAAGGTGACATATTTGTTCCTTGGTTCAAGCTCGAGTCTTCAACCTTTGAAATACATGTGACACCCCGTGACCCATGCATTGCAGATCCGAGGTTCCAGAAGAAGCAAGAATGTCTCGGAGATGAATACTTTTGGGGCAGCGGTAGTGCATTCGACGAAGACATGGCAGCTTGCATGCAATGGGGTACAGGCCAGAGCATGACAAGCAAAATAATGTTCGCGCCCACTTACGGCGAGGAGCGTGACCTGATCATGATGCTGTTGAGCAGAGCCCTCACGTCAGAGCTCTGCCTGAATTCGAAGTCGTGCCAGTTTAGCCAGAGTGAACGAGCGCGGAGTTAGCGCGCATGTGGTTGTGGAGTTATGGGATGTTATGGGAATTAGTAGCTGCTCGTTTGGACAGCGCCGGACGCGTGAGTCTTCAGCCTGGCCATTTTCAGGTGCCTTTGAATCATTGCATGTGCATGATTGGTGCAGCAGGTGCCGGATAGCATATCTTCAGCAGAGCAAGAGCTGCCACTGCTGGAGATGATGGTGGCCGGAAGCTCAGTCTTCCTTAGAGTCTTGTTATAAGTATAGTTACCCTAATTATAACCCTAGTTACTATGTCCCATGATCCTTTAAGTAGAGTCTTGTGCAAGAGATGCTGCGGAGGGAATTTGTGCCAAATGAGGCACGGGGAGGTCCCAGCGAGGAGGCCATGAAGCCGAAGCCGCCGGTTGTGAAACCCGCCTGTCTTCGAATTCAGGCCGGCCCTCGGGTTGCGACACAGGTTTCGGGGCGAAATTATACTGTAACTACTATAGTTATAGTACGGAGCCCCCAAGATAGTATAGGACCCCGCAGCTCCGCATAAGTCATCAGCATTCACCGCAGGACAAAGCCGAGCTGCAAAGACTGTACAGAGAGATGGACTGGACCACAGCCTTGCAGTGTGTGAGTTCGGGAATGGCAGAGCGATTCCATGGCACCTGCTCCGCCGAGGTTTTTCAATGCCCCCATCCACAGGCCACCATGTCGATCGAAGAAGCGGCAGACCTGGAGATAGAGGAGATGCATGAAATCGAGGCAGGACATCTTGCGCCGGAAGGCAGATGTTTGTCGATTCTGCGATGCTGAGGCTGCTCGCGCAAGGAAGCAGGTCGAGCAGGAAGCCCACGATGCTGACAGATGGTGTTTCGTCACAATTAACGTCTTCGGATTCCACATTCCCTTTCAACTTCGGACTTTGAAGCGGCAACTGTCCCGCCTTCCGCCGAGGTGGCATGGGGATCGATATGGAGCCAAAGAGGAATGGGAGGAAAACCAGAAGTTGCAAGCTCAGGGTCGGTAAGCCAACCTTTTTCATGTTTATTTTTATTATTACCGGCTGTGTGTGCTTTCATTCAGCCTGCCTTAGGTTGTACAAGGATCGGGACCCTCGACAGCACTAGGACTTCACGTGTTTATCTTGGTTGGCTGCTGCTACTACTACTACTACTACTACTACTACTACTACGACGACGACTACTACTACCACCACCATCACTAAGCACATCGACACTGAGCCTGAGACTCAGGATTTTGACGAGTTCAAAGATGACCACCCGTGGGGATCTGGAAACAAAATGGCCAACATAGGATAGTTGGAGATTTTGTCCGGAGAGGTTTGCCCGCGATTGTCTACCATGTAGTGGCCACATGCGGACTGAGCTCTGCGGCAATATTCTTGACCGACGCACTTGATCGACAATGCGTGTACAGGTGTCGTGTGCGCAGCAACAAATGTCGCGATTATGCCTTGCCTGCTGTCGACTACGACCAGACATACTTTGCTGAACCCATGTGTCAGAAAGGCTTCCGTTGCAGCCACTACATGTGACTTCGACCGCGTAGATGGCAGCCATCTGTCGGCGCAGGACAAGTGACTCGAGAGACTGGGACCACAGAGATTCTATTCCAACAGAATTGCAGACACCACGGCTCCGTGGAGGAATTCCGAGACCGGTTTCGAACAGGCCCGTTGAGCAAAAGCCTTGGCTGCAAGTGTCTGCAAAATTACACCTTCATCCATGCAACTCGTAGTTCGCCGGCAACGCTGTAGGAGTTGAAATTTTCCCAGCACGAGCCTGAAACGTGACGACCCATCATTCGCAAGACGCTGCCGAGGTGCTGGCAAGCCAGTTATCTTCACAAACGTTCGTCATGCCCTCGATGCATTTGCTTTTAAGCGTGGCTGTTGGATTGGCGCTAAATTTGCCCTACAAGCTTATGCCGGCTCAAGACAGTCTTTATGGAGGTTCTCGGGCATGTCCGGCTATGCGTCGGCGAAACGGATGCTATTCGAATAGCACAAGTCACCGATGTGCACCGCTTCCCGGGGAATGTCACATACTGGGACTGCCCGAAGGGCCGACGGATGGAGTTGGCAAGCCAAGACTACAGCAAGAACGGCGACATCGAGCTCCTGGAAAGCGTGTTGGGCCGATGCAAGCCTCACTTTGTCGTGTTCACTGGTGACATCCTTGATGGCCGCCCCTTTCACGGAAGCCCAGCTTCGGCCTGGCGGGCGACTTTCCTGGAGCTGCTGGAGCCCGTCCTGAAGTATGGGTGTTTCGGCAGGTGCGAAAGCATGCTTGTTGGGTACTAGTAACTAGGTCACTAGGTCATGTCTCGACACCGGAGTTTATCTGTGGAGTGCGAGAGTCCGTGGCCCAGGCTGCCGTGGACTTACATTCCAGGAAATCACGACGACGATGGCGCCCCATGGGACCGAGCTGATCTTCTGCAGATCTACGACCTCCCCGGCTGTGCGTCGCAAGGTGCGAAGCAGTTCAACCACACCTTCACAATAGGACCTGGACATCTTGAAGATGCAGCAACGTCCTTGCGCTTGTGGCTCTTCGTGCTTCGGCACTGTTTAGTTGCATGGGGACGGAGACCTTAGCATGCGCCCCGTCGGTGTAAGAATGCTGAGTGCAGAGCGTCCAGGACTCCGGGGGCAACAGCTCAGATCCTTCCATCGGCGCCTTTCGCAGCATCTTATGCCTAATGCCTCGCGTGTCCTCTGTACTTGGAGGATCATGGGACTTAGTAAGTAAGGTTATAAGTACCCTGATTGGGGTTATAAGTATAATTACCTTAACTATACAATAATCCTAGTTTCGAAGTCCAATGATCCTCGAAGTATCGTTCAAAGCATGCAACGAAGGATACGAAACCTTCAAGAGCGAGGCGGTCGATGCATTTCGTGAGCTCTCCGAGAAGCTGGCGCCGTGTCCTTCCCTTGTCTACTTCCACATCCCGCCTCTTCACTGAGTTTGGCCGATGAAACGTACTTGATGATTGTATGGGAGGGGTGTTGTTTTTACTCTGGCTTCTTCACGCACTCTTAAGTTCGCTTCACTGTCGAGCTTTGGCAATGGGCGTTCCTCGCCCCATGCGTTGTTCGTGCTGTTGCAGTGCTGCCGGTCACTGCTGAGCTTCGCTTTTGAAGTGCGGAGCTCTGAAGCAAAAGTCCGCAGAAACGGCAGCGGAGCTGTTTGCAGAAGCTTCCGGAGTCCTCCGGAGCTTCCGTTTTTTGGCGAACCAAATCGGGCCGACCCTCAACAACCAAGTTTTCGTGACAATGCACGCTATCGTGGCGTTCAGATAGTACGGAAGAGCGTGTGTTCAATGCATGCGTTTGGTTGCTGCAGCAACACAGCATCAGGCATGCTCGCCCGGCGGTGCCAGCCCTTTTGTTATTTTGTTTCCTCCTAAGTCTTTTTGTGTTGCCTGCTGTCGTCATGCACCACTCGGCAGGGCATTCCTCAAGCAATGTGCAGAGAGAAGTGTTGTGCGGTATCCTATACTATCGTTCAGGTGATGTGGTGCCTTTGTCACTCTGCCTGATTTTACGTATCTGAACAAGCAGGTGCGACTCGGTCGTCCGAGTGCCGAGGGTAGTCGAACCCCCCAAAGTGATGCAGTGCCTTTGTTGCATGGTGTTCCGTGTCGATCGCTCTCCCTCCAGGCATCCGTAACCCCTGTGCTGACTACCGCGCTTGCAGTGCATCGTGTTTTGTTTTACGCATGCCAAGTGTATTGTAAGCCACAAACTCCAGACCTTGAACGCAACACTCCAAGGTTGCCGGAATATGGTAATCTGGTGCCAGTCCACGGCACCCAGGGTCTCTTCGAGTCGGCATTGTATGCCTCGGGCTTAGGTATCAGCCCATGCCCTTTCAATTTGACAGGTTGATACGTTCACCATGCTCATGTCATTCCCACGCTGTAACTGTAACTGCTTGGTCCTGGCGCTTCTGGGTCTTTGCAACCTGGTTGAGGTCACATGCCCTCTTGCGGAACATTTACTCACATGTTTTGACTTTGACGACATTGCCCAATGTAGCAGATCAGGCTGGCATGGTCCCTCGCCCATGGTGTTGGATGCCCTGGCTGGTGCGAGCTCTTGGACAGCATCGCGTTGTTGGCTGCTCCAAGCTGAACAGCGGAAGCTGGGACTGAACTTACTGCGCACCAGCGGCAAAGCCGCCACAAAACGCTGCAGCTACTGCCGCCGCTATGAGGATTCTTTGATGCCCTTGTGGATGCAAATGGTAATGGCCTTGGGCCCATCCTGGCGACTTTCTGCGGCCATGACCATTCGAACGATGTTCCTTGGCTTCGGCTTAGAGGCTTAGCTGTCTCTGTCAGTCAGGTACTAGTAGTGGACCTCTGCTCGTTTCGTCGTTTCTTGCCCAGGCGGTTTTCCAACGAAGCGGCATCTTCTTGTGCTACGGCCGAGCAGCCGGGTTCATGTGATCTCACTTCTGGTATTTGGCCTGTCTTCAGCATGGGACGGTATCAGCCGTTCGAAGAGATTTGAGGGTCGTGCGGTGTCATCTTACCAGGTGAGTGGCAGTACACCTCCAGTTGACTGGGAGGGGGATGCTCCGCTGCCCTTTGAGCCTGGCATCCGGCTTGTAACGTGCCTAGCATCCTCCGGAGTTGCCGTTTCCAGTGTTTCGCTCGGGTTGCTTTTTGTGCATCGGTGACTACTAAGGTTGAATATTCTGGCAGAGATGCGACATTGGTGACGTGGATCGAAATCAAGACAGGTGTCGAACTTGGCAGCCGCTGCACGCTGGCTGAAAAAATCGTGCGAAGAGAGCTGCAGACTCCAAGACCTGTTTGTGCCCCTCGTGGCGGCCTTCGGTGTACCGATAGCCGCTATTTGGCTTCCTTCAGCGGTTGTTTTGGCTCAGACCTGCCTGCGGCCTAGAGAGCAGGGTGCTCGTGCCCAGCCCCGTCCTCAGATTTAGCTCGACGGGGGTTGCGCACTTTCCGCTTGCCCTTTCTCAGGCGATGGTGGTGGTGGAGTCCGACGGGGCATGTACTTTTCAGCTGCACTAAAAGATGTGGTCTAGTTTTTCAACACCGAGCCCGAGTACATTCGTAACATGTATTTGCGACATATCATCGAGGTGGATGCTTCGAGGAAGTGAAGTCATCACGCGAATCACGTGGTGACAGCTGGGTGCAGGTTGGTTCAGGCACTGCTGAAACCGGGGGCAGCTTCGATCCAGCATTGTGCAAAGCCAATGTCCCTCAGGCAAAGGCGCCTATGAGAGAGTGACGAGCCTCAAGTTTGTTGGCGCTGGAAAGGGTAGCATTGACAAGGAGCGACGTTTTGTTCGCAGATCAAGAAAAAGACCTGACTGTGCAGCAGTCTTTCTATCCGGCAGGAAGTGGTGGTCCCCAATCGATTCGGCGGAGTATTTGGTGCAGTGGTATGTTTGATGATGGTTCCCGTTCTGATAGGCTGGGCAGTATCTTCAATGCGTGCTGAGTCACTTGCTCTTTCGCGGCGATGTTTTTTAGTCGGTTCTAGACCTAAATATGAAAAGCATGCAGCCGCCAGGCTTGGCGTGGATTCTCTTTCTCGCCAGAAAACCTGCACCTGGACAAGACGCAGGGTTTGACGTCGTGCTTCCACCTGCTGTGCCGGACTGTGCGCGCGTCTCAGTTTCAGCATTGGGACTCGCCTTCTTGGGCATGCTACCCAAGTTGTTCTGTCCGTCTCGCAGCAAGGACGACGGATTCAGCCATTGGAGAAGCATCTGGGATGAGGGCAAGAAGAAATATTGCTGCTCCCATCATGGAAGAGGCTGTCCAGAACCGCGCGTGAAGATTGTGCCGAAAGTGAAGTACCACGATGTGTCCGTCCCAATCCCGTACAAAGTTCACGTTCGCGTTCCTGTGCCCACCGTGGTGAACAAGAAGGTCGTCGTAGAGGAGCCACCGCCATATTCCTGCGAAAAAGATTCGCCTGTAGATTCGTGGAGCTCGCGACATCGGCGCTACTGCTGCTATCTGAAGCAGTTAGGCTGCCGCCCGCAGATCGTGAACCACAATGTGTACCACAGAATTGTCAAGGTGAAAGAAGTCAAGGTGCCGCACTACTTGCCGCCAAAGGCAACGAAGACGAAGATCACGTACAAGAAGATACCGTACCCAGTACCTGAGATTCCCAAAGTTCAGACCGTCAGAGTCCCGGGACCTGTGATTGTCAGAACCAGATATGTCGAGGTTCCCAAGGTTATACATGTTCCAGCACCTGGTGACGTCGAAGTAGTGCGCAAACCAGTTGCGGTATCGGTACCCTCGAAGCCAATTGTGGTAAAGATGCCTCCCGTCGCGGGCCATCGTGACGACTACAACTGCCATGCCGGTTACTCCAACTGGTACTTCGGCTGGTCTAAAGTCAAGAAGGAATGGTGTTGCGACCATGAGGAGAGGGGATGCCCTGGCACATGGCATGGAAGCCTTCACATCCATCATGTCCACATGTCGGGTGTGGGCACGGCCACCGGGAAAATCTACGACTGTGATGCTGGCTTCTCGAACCTGGGTTCTTGTTAGAGGGTGTAATTTAAAATAACTACCATAATACCGAAACCACATCACTGACTATAGATCCTTGTTATGGTAAGTTGGTCGGTGCTGATGGGCTCGTTCCGAAGAGCCTTACGCGTTTGAAATATTATGGTGAGTTAAATCACTTGAAGGATCACGGGGCTTAGGAACCAGGGCTATCATGGCTAGAATCAGGGGTAACCTATACTTATAACCCCCAATTTAGCTTACTAAGTCCCATGATCCTCCAAGTAGTGTCTTGAAGACTAAACATATTGGGGAAAAATATTTTTCCCCAATATGTTTAGGGGGAAAAATATTTTTCCCCAATATGTTTAGAACCCAGGAACTGGCTTCAAGGCTGGTCTGACTCCAAGAAGAAGTGGTGCTGCAGTAACAAGGACAAAGGCTGTCCCAAGTATTACTGTGATGGAGATAGCACCGACTGGATCGAGGACAAGCAATCATGGCGCCAGGGTTTGCATTTTGTATGAAGGTCATTATTCTGATGTTTACGTCCCTGTTAGTCAAGTGCGCCCCTTTACCGGGACTTCCAAGGTGCTGCGACAACTTTCAGAAAGGCTGCAAAAGCACGACCTTGTCCCTCCTCGGCTGCGAAGCGCCTTGCACCCTGCACGGCGACACCTCGACGTGCAAGAGTCGAATGCATTGGGCTCGAGGGAAGGTCTTCGGGGGCCAGGCCAATGCTTGCTCTTTGGCCTACAGCAAAATTCAGGTGGAGTGTGACGTGTGCAGGGCTTGCACCATACAAGAAATCGGCTGTGATCTGCATGTCGCAACATCCGCTGCCTTCGATTGTGATGCAGCATTCAACAACTTCTTCAGGGCATGGTCGCCCGCGAAGAAGCACTGGTGCTGCACCGTGAAGCACAAAGGTTGCGAGGGGAAATCGCCACCACATGTGGATGCCGGTTTTGGCATGGCTTGGAAAAGGGTTCAGGTCAATGGGTACTGGGTATGGACTGCAGTGCACGTCGGGGGCGTGAGCATGCCATACGACTGTCATGCTGGCCTGATGCACCACCTAACCGGCTGGTCACAAGGCAAGAAGTCTTGGTGCTGCCAGAACCAGCACTTGGGCTGTGGGGCATTATCCACGGCAACGCATGCAACACATGTGACGACTGTGACACATGTCTTCCACGGAAGTGCAGCTGGGGGAGCAGCAGGAGCGGCCGGAGCGGCCGGAGCGGCCGGAGCAGCCGGAGCAGCCGGAGCAGCAGGGGCAGCAGGAGGAGGAGCAGGAGGTGGCCATGGCAATCCTCCAGGTGTGGCTGCAGACGGGATGGTTTGGCAGTGGCATAACCACTGGATCCAGGTCCACGCAGATGGCGACTTGCCCTTCAATTGCGGTGCCGGCTTGGCGAAATGGAAAAGTGGCTGGTCAGCACCCAAGAAGCAGTGGTGCTGCAACCATGTCGGGGTTGCCTGCCTTTAAACAAAAGGCCGACGCAACGTGTGTGAAAATATCTCACATGCAAAGCCAAAAGTGCAGGTTTTATGAGATTCAGACTGTATCATGCATGCTAGCCGAACAAACAGGCTTAATTCGAACAGCACGCGGACTGTACATGCTTCCATCAGCTTGCAAAACTCGCAGCGTGTATAGCAAAAAGCAATTCTTTGCCGGGCAACTCTCGCCGGCTGACGTCGTGAGTGCTGTTGTTTGCTTAGGCAGCAGATGCATCCGGGACATGCCGCCTGCAGTGCATCAGTGGAGCATTGAGTACCATTGAGGCTTGGGCGCAGGCTTGAGCAGCAAGGCAACGGGACCTGCGTGTATTAGCAGCCGCGACTTGCATTTGTTGCCAGGATGTATATATATATATATATATATATATATATATGTCATATCTATAATATACTGTATACTACATCATTAATGTATTTATTGGACAGGAGAAGCATGGAAAAGGCGCCCCACCTGAGCATGAGCCTCGGGCCATGGCTCAGTTCGAGTGCTTGGGTGTGAAGTCTTGTCGCACGGTTCTCCAGCTGCTGGTGAGTCAAAACAAGGGGTGGAACCAATTAGCGAGTTTGAGCTAACTTAGTTCAGTCTACCGGGTGAACAGAAGGGTCGCAAAGTGCCCTCCACATCCCAGAGCGCCTCTGCCACAAGCCCTTGCCATATCCTGTGATACCGTGGCCGATTCGGATTGGTCAGGTCAGCAGTGATATCATGAGTTATTGCACCGTGTGGTCGCACTGACTACAGGCTGAAGTCCTCTGATTTTTGCATTCTCTAGCTTTCTCGATGTTTTATGCTGGGTTTTTGTGGTCTACCCCTTCCTCTGCCATGCATCTTTGCGGCTCTCTCCCGCTCTCCTGCATTCTGGACTCTGTGGAGTTGTTGGGCAGCGACAAACAGTATCAAGCAGTCCGAGCGGCCCAGGTCCTTGCTTGCTGCAGAGCGCAGAGGCACAGCCGGCAAATCGCCAGTTGCTACATCGATCAGTTGCTGCGGTATCAGGCTCATCTGTCCCAAGCGCGGAGGCGTGTACTCTATGAAAAGCTAGCGAAGATCCCCGAAGCGGTGCCCTTGTGAGCCGGCGCAGCATTTCGCCGTGTTCAAGTACATCTGAAGCATAGCTTGTCGCAATTCAATTTAAGGTATTTCTCTCGGTCGCCGGCCACCAGCTAGGCAAATCGGCTTGTCTGGCAAGAAATCCATCAGCAATCCTGAACTGGAGGAGATGGTAGAGGAGACACCGGACGGAAACCGCAAAATCAGCCGAAATTGGAAATCCGGCGCCGGAAACACAAAAACGACCAGAACCTGCCGAGAAAATTGCAAAGCTGCAGAAACCTACAGGAAATCCCGCGAACAGCAATCTGCAGGAATCCTGCCGGAAACTCCAAACATTGCAAAAATCTGGCAGGACATCCTACATGTTGACTGGGAAATTGCATTTTGACAGACTTCGTCCAGAAACTGTTGAGTCTGCCATGATGGCCGAAATGGCAAACATTGCTGAGGGAAAACCTGCAAACAACGCAGGACATCTAGCCGGAAGTCCTGCAACCCGCAACAACAAAATCTGCAGAAATCTGGGCGGAAACTCGTCAAAATTTGGCCGGATACTGCCAAAGTTGATGGTATGCGGCCGGAACCCTGGCAGGAAACTCCACAAAATCTGGCAGGCAACCACACAAAGTACACAAAGCAACAATTCCGAGTTTTGCCAGAATCCAACCAACAACCGCTATATAACTTGGCGCCTGATGCTGCAAAATTTGCTGGGATGTGGCCGAGACGGCAAAATCTGCAGGAATTTGGTCCGAAATTCTACAAATGGCCGAAACAAGGCGGAGATTCCACAAGTGGTCCGGATATGGCAAATCTGCTATGTCTGCCGAAATCGGCCGGTAACGAAGCACCAAATTTGCTGAAGTTAATTTCGAACCCTCGAAATCTGGCCTGGTGTGAGTGTCAAGGAATTGTAGCTTTTTCCGCAAACATTTCCAAATGTCAAAACTTGCGGACTACTCGTTGAAATGTTCATGGAGCGAGAAGCCGAACAAACGCTTGAGCAGGGGAGCGCAAGCGAGCCGATTCAACGAGATCGAAGCGTAGGGCCGCCCCTCTAATTCAAGGGAGATGTCTCGGGCGCCACGCTGCGCTGGCGAACCCTGAACCGTATATACGCTTCCCGAAACCCTCACGGTTTCGGCCAAGGCAGGTTAGGTGAGTTCCAAGAGAGAGTTGAGAGATCTGCAGGTGCCAGCCCTTTCGGTCCAGGCTCGGGCAGCATGGCCGTGGTCAGCTTAGGGGCGGCACCTTTTGGTCCCTGAGGTTGGGATCCGCAGGTGCTGGAAGCATCTCTGGGCCATTCCATGGTGAGGCCCCCCCGCACGGGTGGACGCAGCTGTGCATTCTTGGTGGAAGTTCCGCCAGGTCGCAGCAAGTAGTGGCCCGGAGCTTGGGGTTCGTGGATGGGCAAGGTGACTTTCTACGATGTCGGCTGCTTCAGGTCTACCGCTACGAAGCAAATGCTTCGAGGCACTGCTGAGACCATGCCTTTGGGTGTCTTACCTGTCTCCCTGTCCCTGCACGCCGTTCCTAAGTCAGCACAGCATGCACAGCTCCAAACAGTGCATCGCCATGTATCTGAACGATCGTGGATAGGACCCCACGTCTGAACATCAACCTTGTTACCATGTGTATTACTATTACTACTACTATTACTATTACTATTACTATTACTATTACTATTACTGTTACTATTACTATTACTATTACTGGTGCCATTTGCTACTTGTCTTGCATGTCGAATCGGCGGTACAGCAATGATACGGCCACGAGCGCTTATGCCACGTTTGCAGATGTCACGGGCGCTGTCTTGCTTCAGGCTCCTCGGCTGCTTTTCAGAAAAAGATATTCTTGAATGGTTTTGTTATTTCGCCATTATCATAATGTTAAAAAAGCCGTAACGTGGAGTTCCGCAAATGAACTTACATGGGTGCGGCACATGGTGCAATTCGGAAGGCGTTGATCGGGAAAAGCAGGTGGGGGAGGGCTCCACAGTCGATATCAAGCAAAGACACGAAACCAAACCACGGCTTGTCGAAATATCATCTATTCCTTAGGGTTCCTTGTTATATTTTTATTACATATTATATCATGATTTATGTTATTCCTCAGGGTTCCTTATTATATGCATATTATGATAAAGGAGCCCAAACCCCATACTGCACTTTGAGTTGGCTGGATCGCGAGGTGCGACCTGCCTATTACTATTACTACTATTATTACTATAACTAGTACTAGTACCAGTCACCAACAGCACATCCTGCCCTGCCCTCTGTAGCAGAAGCTTTGGGACATAGAGATCTCGGGCAGGGCCGACATGCCGGAATAGGTGTCCTGACGCTTTTCTTGGAATTCACACAGGCTGGATTCACCTTTCAGGTTCACAGGACGGATAAGTGTTTCGACTTCGTCTCGATGCAAGGTTTGGTCCAACCTCGCGGCAAGAGAGATTCTTTTCCTCGCTCGTGTGGCTGCAGCCTACTGGCAAGCTGCTTTGCAACTTGTGCAGAAGAGGTTGCCCCTTCCTGCGCCCTTTGCTTTGTTGACCCTGGAAGAAAGAGCCAATGTGATGCGATTCTCCCACTTCTTGGAGCAAGCATGGCTTTTTGAGAACTTTGCGCACATGGATCCTCAGCGGCTAGTTTCGACAGGAGGTGAACTTCCGGCCTTATTTGGCAAGCAAGGAGGCGTGTGGCGCATTGGCCCTGGAACAGAAGCACCTCCACAGATGCACCGGGCGCCTTGCGCAAGTACGCTTTGCACTTCCACCACTGCCAGCTTCGCACCACTTGGCCACTGGTGCATGTGCCTCGTAAACGAGGATCCAAGCACAAATTACGGCCCGAGTGGTTTGGTCTTCAGTTTCCCCTGTGCCTGTCGACCGTCCGTGGTGGTGTATCGTTGCAAGGCGAGGGCATCGTGCCCACATCGAGCAGGCGCTGTGTTCGCGTTGGCACATGGCGTGGGCAATGATAAGGGCCCAGAGCGGCCGCTTCTATGCATGTCTTTTTCTCGAGACGGCACCGGCCGCGACATTTTCTCTTCATGCTCCAGCCGAGTTCCAGTGGGGAGTTGGGTGGATGATTGCTGGATGACGATTGGCATCAAAGTGGATTGGCCGCATCGTATGCTAGACATATATCTTCAACAGTCCTACAAGCAGTCCAACACGCACCAACGAGTTCCATTCGCTGACCAGAGCAATGATGCAGTGAAGTACTTGCTCTTGTACAACCAGACAAGTCCTGGCCTCAGAGCGTCGTTCGCGCATGTCAGCGCATTTGTGTGATGCATCGGTAGGGCGCACACCCCACCCGGGATTGCATAGCAGATTCTGCCTTCAGGTGATTTTGTTGCCAGCTTCACCGATGTGTTGATACTGTGACTCTGACTCATGTTGCGACTGCGATGCCCACGGCGAAGGGCACACTGCTGGTGGCCTATGTCTTGCATCAAGCAGCCTGGAACAAAGCTCTGGAGGCAGTGGCGGTTAATCTCTACGCAGCTCATTCGGAAGAAACAAGCCACTGAGCAGAACGGAAGCCTGTCGCCCACGTCTGCGTCGAAGAAGCGCACCAGGCTGACAGAGGAGGATGTGCTTGACAAGGCAAAGGGGGACCTTTGCGCATGTGCGCAAAAAGCAAAACAAAACTCGAGTGGAACGCCCAGAACTGCGCCGGTGATCCCTTCCCGTGATGAGTCCATGCGCTGACAAGGCCGTCCCAGACCGGCCTGGGCCAGCCGGCCCTGCTACAGTCGATTATGGCATTGCGAGATGTCCCACCCTCAGAGAATACATGCATGTATAATACGTATATTAGAACAAACTTCTATATGTTAAAATCTACTATCTTAATGTTTTATCACATGTTATAGTGTGTTACAATATGTTATAACATGTTATAACTGTTATACCTTTCTAGAACATTTGGATTTTCAGCTTGGCCGCAAAGCTGTGCTCACCGAGTCGACGCTCTTCCTGCTCAAGCCCTTGCATCCGGCTTCTCAAGCCTTGGGAGACGGTGTCGCTGGTCTGTTTGCATATATATATATATATATATACGTATGTATATGTATATACAGGTTTTTCACGTTAAAAACATGTCGCACGATACAATGTTTATATACTGTGTGTATATATATATATATATATATGTGTAAAGATTGTAGACAGGTGTATGGATATGAATACATACATACATGTCCACATTTATATATGTGTATATATATATATATGTATATACATATGTATACGCACACATATTCACACCTCTATATCTATGTCCTATCGCTTGCATTCCGCCCGCATTTTTGCCTTGTGCTAGTCCTCGAGCTGCCCGACTATCTGCGGCCTATCCAGCTCACCGGGTCGCTGCCTCAGATGCATCCATATATGAGCATATATGATCCCGCCCCCCCCCCCCCCCCCCCAATGGTATCAAACCCCCCCCCCCCCCCCACGCTCCCGAAGCCGAATCTGTGTGCGACTGGGCCGGCCGAACCGGGATCATATAATATATGTTATGTTATAGAGTTGTCGGTATAGTGTGGTATAGAATAGAAGACTAGTCTCATCTATTCCATTGAATCTGACAGGCCAACCCTGAGCATTGGAAGCGCCGGCCTCGGATACCGGACGCTCGTGCTGTGAGATGGCTCCTTGTAAGAGGTACGAACGCCTCCTCACCACCCCACCAGCATCAGGCTTGCAGATAGTTGGATCCTTGCTGCTGACAGAAGCATTCATGAACAGTGCATGTATACGCCGCAGTGTGGCATCCGAGTTGCTGATAAACGCAAGGCCTAGGAATTCTGGCTGCAGGAAAACTGGTTCGCGCAACTTCTGGGCCAAAAGGCATGGGCCGTGTGCTTATAAACGGCTTTTGAAACAGGTCCAACCAAGAAGAGGTGCTGCTGCCTGAAGTAAGGTCGTTGCACCGCCGGATGATCAGGCCCGAGGGCTATAAGATTTTTGTGCTTCGTCGTGCCCCTGTCTTGAATTCACAACGGCCGTTTGCTGCGCCGAGCATGCAGTGGCCGCGGTGCATGACTTGAGACGTTCGTGTCTTGCAGACACCTGGCTCAGGGCAGGTGCATCTGCGGGATAGGTCATTCGCGATCCCGTCCGCATGCCAAACGAAGTTCATTTTCCGACGCTTTGCCGGTATTGGATTATGCGAAAGGTTCATGCCCAAATGCAGAAGCCGAGGTGAAATGAAGATCTTCAACCTGGTTCAAGCTTTGCTGCTGGTGCGCGGCTCGAAACAGACGGAGTCAGCATGTCACCCCAGAGTGACAGAGGGTAGCAGAGTATCGCCCCTTGCATGAAGGCGACGGTTGCCAATGCAGGATTTCTGCGTCGAAAAGGTTATGCCCCAGGCGTGGTTGACGTGGCAGACCCTTAGCTGAAAACAGTGCTTGACAGACCGATACGAATGATGATTCCGAGTGGCAGAGCGATTCGGTCCTATTGGTAATTTTAATCCGACACTTCCGAGGATGCCAACGCCAGTGATCCGATCAGAAAGTCGAAGTCGGATAGGTGGAGCAACCATGAACGGAATGAGTCCCCTCCAACTCTAAACCCTCAGGATAACACGTAGATTTCTGCAGTGCTTTATGCCACTACTTGTTTGGACGTGGAGCTTTGGTCATAAGTAGTGGGGTAAAGAGGAGCGGGTAAGCTGCTCGAGGGGTGGAGTCTGGAATATGAGCTGTACTTCTCATTTGATTCGAGGTACTTGCGTTGGTCTTGGGGGCTTTTGGAGAATTTGGGGCTTGGGTGAAGTGCGGTACTTGGAGGATCATGGGACTTAGCAGGTCAGGTTATAAGTACCCTAGTTGGGGTTTTTAAGTATAGTTACCCTAAGTATAACCCTAGTTACTAAGTCCCATGATCCTTCAAGCAGACCCTAAACCCTAAACCCTATAGATCAATTTTAGGACCCCTTTAAGGAACCCCTCTGGTTACAAAGTCCCATGATCCTTTAAGTTAACCTTAAACTCTTGGGGAACCCTTATAGAGCCCTTTTAAGGACCCTAGTTACAAAGTCCTGACCCTAAACCCTAAACCCTATAGATCAATTTTAGGACCCCTTTAAGGAACCCCTCTGGTTACAAAGTCCCATGATCCTTTAAGTTAACCTTAAACTCTTGGGGAACCCTTATAGAGCCCTTTTAAGGACCCTAGTTACAAAGTCCCATGATCCTTTAAGTTAACCTCAAACTCTTGGGGAACCCTTATAGATCCCTTTTAAGGACCCAAGTCCTGACCCTAAACCCTAAACCCTATAGATCAATTTTAGGACCCCTTTAAGGAACCCCTCTGGTTACAAAGTCCCATGATCCTTTAAGTTAACCTTAAACTCTTGGGGAACCCTTATAGAGCCCTTTTAAGGACCCTAGTTACTAAGTCCCATGATCCTTTAAGTAGGGTTCAGACTGCTGAGAGCTTCTCCTTTCGAGCCCTTCAGCCTCGCCGAGTTTCGCGAGAGAGTCCGAAGTCTGAACATCTCTAAAGTCTCTAAAGCCTCCCTGTAGTATATTCTAGTCTATTATAGTATATTATAGTATATCATAGCATATCATAGTATATCATATATTGTGACCCCGAACCTTAGGCCCTAAACCTCAGACCCGCAGCCACACAGACCTCGTCTGGCGAGCCCGAGTTGCGAGAGTGTGAATCTTCGACGCTGCCACTTTGGCACAACAAGCGCCAAAGCCTGAATCCTCCTGACCCTTGTGGCTCCGGGACATTGACCGTACACCCTCCAATCAAATCCTGACCCCTGCGCTTCAAAGGGCCCCTGCAAGGGGGTTTTCAACTCGAACTTACTTCCGGCACCGGCACCTCATCTTCCAGAGCACCGTGCTGTTTACCGCCAGCACATGTCGTGCTAAGAGCAGGGCCATTGTGCAGTATCTTCCTCGTCGACCGCAGGCATCCCACTCAAATCGCCATCAGTAGCCATCTCCTTCGCATCACCGCCGTCGTCACCATCATCCTCATCATCCTCACCCCTGTCACGTCCCGGCCGATTAGCACCTCCGCAGTCCGAGAGTGATGCTCTTATGTTGCCCTGCCAAGCTTCCAGTTTCAGTGCGGCTGCTCTTGGACACGCCTCAAATTTTCGGGATCGTAAAGCTTTGGCGAAACGTGGCATGGCGTGGCGAGGCTGAGGCCGTGTTCTGGTGGATTCAGTGTTGCTTCCCTGAGACCAGGGAGGTGCATTGCAGGGCATGTTTTGCAGGGGCGATTTGACACCCAGCATGTTATTATGCGATGCACTCCCGCTTCGACAACCTCGCCAATGAGCCTTCCACCACGAGGGCAGTTTGAAGAGGATACGGCAGGCTTTGGCACGACTCTAACAGGTTGTCGTGGGTGCATGGACGGTCGGGCAGGCCCTGGAACCGAGCAAAGAATTGCTTCTTGCCGACTGTGGCTGCAGATCGTGCAGTCCGACGGGGCCAAGCATTACCGTGAACCTCGTCCTATAGGGCCTAGGGGTGCCGCTGCAATGAGTTTGCCGATTGATGGTGAGGAACTTGACTTGAAGGTTGAGGTGTTTTCTACCGTCGTCTAACATGGATGGTTTGCCGTCTCACGTTTTGAAATCTGATTAGGTGCTTGATGTGCGGTGTCGAGAATCTTCCCCCGCTTGCATGGCCGGTCTGCGATGGCCGGGGTCGACTTCTATTTGTCGTGTTTTTCCTTCCTATTAGTGGAGGTGCGCGAGGGGGGAGCCGATTTAGCTCGCCTCCAGTAGGTTTCCGCAGGCCGTGCCTGCGTGCAGACGGAAAAGAGCCCTAAAACAAAACAAAAACTTCAAACCCTAAACCTCAACCGTAAATTCTGAGCCGCATGTGACAAAATCCCGTGCCCGTGATTTGTCGCCCCGCAGGCGAACGTATTTCCACACGACCCTGGACTCGGGACTGAAAGTTCCCCGGTACAACGTTTAGGGTCCAGAGTTCAGGGGTTTAGTGTCTAGGGTTTTGGGCTTCTGCTTGCAGGACTGCATAATAGGGAAAATGGGGCAATTATATGCTGGTTGGGACCGAGTCTTCAAACTCTTTAGAACCCGTTTAAATATCCGCTTCGCCTCTTTCGTGCATCGCGATAACCTAGTAGTAGAGTAGGTAACCTTTAACCTTTTTTGGGTAGTATAGTCCCTAACATAATCCCTATATAGCCACAAAGAGTGCTTCGGAGCCAAGGTTCTCTTGGTCGAAGATCCCGAAGCGCAGAAGTCCAGCTATGCCATGGCCGTGGAGGTCCAAACGGCCTCGAACTCCAGACCAAACAGCCCTAAACATGATAGTATGTTATAGTATATTATAGTATATCATAGTATGTTACTGTAGACTATAGTGTGACCCGGCTTAGGGTTTAGGGCTTGAGGTTTTGTTCGTGATTCAGCTGCTTCAGATGCGTAGGGTGTCTGCCACGAGTGCAGCGGCTCTGAGATCCAGGCAGGCATGCGCAAGTCTGTGCAAAACAGGTTAGGGGAGCCAACATCCGGAAATTCCAGGCCCCAAGCCCAATCCTATATCCTTGAACCCTACAATTTAAGCTCACTAGTACTCCTTGCTAGGTAGGAGGGAAAAACAAGCTCACTAGTACCTTGGAAAAGTCGTTAGTGCCAGGTGGGCTCTTTGGAGGACCCCAAGGGTTTCCAGGGGCTGGCTCACTTCTGTGAGCACATGGCGCCTTGGTATTGACCGACTGAGCACGGAATTCAATGATGTCATATCATCAGGTCTAGCTTCATGGGGTTGTCGGGGCAAGTGAGTGCAAGGTCAGTTCATGTGCTTGTCACAGTATCCGGTGAAGCAGCTGACCAGCGGAAAGAAAGCGTCAACACTCTATTTGGATTGCTTTTCTTCAGATCTTTGGAGTTGAACGTCTCGCCGACACAGAGCTTTGCCTATTTCCTGATTTGTCAAAACTTCCTGCCTGCAACCTCGTGTTCTGACTTTCGTCCCGAAGGGATTGTTGGACAGGCTCCGAGTCCCTCCGATATTTTGGATGCACGACGTGCCCTTCTCGAAGAGCAGAAGGGGCGTTCATGGAATTAATGCCGGCCGCGGCACAGAAGGGAAACCAGGGCAACAGAAGCTATTCCCCAATATTTTGGTTACCTTCGTTTTGGGGTTTCAGAAAAAACTGCTGCAGAAAGCAATTCGCTCCATGTCAGCTGCAGAAGTGGTCACTGTTCCAAGGTGTTTCTGGGTTCGAAGAAGTACCCTGAGGAGGACAAATTTTCCGATCGGTTGCGTCAGCAGCAATGACGCATATTAAGAGCTTGCCTGTTGTCTGTTCTTGATGCCCAAGGCTGGCTTTCTTTGGTGGGCAAAGCAATGCTTACACTGCGAGCGATCAGACAGTGTACTATGCGGAGGCTCTCATAACCAAATCTCCCTGTTAGATGTGCCAAATTCCTGCAGACCGCTGCGTTGTTGATCACCAGCAAAGTCAGAATTGGACAAGAGCATCGTGCCACGTTGACTGGGGCCTGACATTCAGTCTTCATGCCCCGTCAGGTCAGTGATGAGGGCTTTCAAGAGACATTCGACATATTTGCTCAGTGACGTGCTCAGCAGTGTCGGCGTCCTTGCGCTCGTTCCAGAAGAACAATTTTTTCGAGGTTCTTTATCGAGCCAACATTTGCGGCTAACATGGTGGACAAAGAGATTAATGCGGTGGATTCTGAACACAAAAAGCTGCCAAGCCGCAACCTGTCCTTGCCGGCATTATATAGGACCGCTAGGAAATCTACGGTGGCTCTGTCGTCTGAGGAATATGCCCGACACCACATGGAGGCTCTTCCACTTGATGAAGTCAAGAGCCAATCCGCTGAGCCCGGCCGCTCGTCAGATTTCTGCATCTCATGACCTCTGGACGCACAACCGTGATCAGCGTGCATTTGGACTTCCTCATCTGTGCATGAGTTTGAGGTGAGCCAGTTCTCTACGGGGAATCTCAAGACCCTCAAAACAGACCCGGAAAAGGACCAGCTGTCATGTGCGTCGCTTGAATCACTTGCATGCAAGAAGATCTTGAATGCTGGAGGACGGCAGGAGCCTGCCAGAAGCTTTAAAGAAATTTCACAAGGACGGAAGAAAAAAGCATTCGGATTCTTGCCCGGGTCGGCCGAATCTGTAGCGAGTCTGATAGGAGCACTACTGCCCATCTCGCATGCACCTCGTGAGCCTCGACTCGACCAGCAGAGGCCCACGTGGGTGAAGGTATATACCTGCGACAGCTGAGGATCATGCAGAACACTTCCATCGCGCAGCAGCTGCATGCTGTCCACCGGAGCTTCGATGTCTTCGGCAAGAATGCCGGCAACTGCAAACCGCGACCCACCTACGACACTGTCGAAATGTGCCTTTGCTCTGGAGTCTGGACACCTGCATGCCGTGCATTTCAAAGGGGTAGCCGATAGCCGAACCGGAGCATGCAAGGTACAGCCGCAAGCTCGGCAATCTCGGCAGGAAGTTCACCGTGCACACGGATGGTGCTCCACAGCTGTGGTTGCTTTTTCCCACCTTCTCTCTTAGAGGAAAGTACAAGGAGCAGCCGGAAGCATACATCCACTACGCCATGAATCACTATGGCCAAGGCCTGTTCAAGCTGTGGGGTGAGTTGACGATCGCGGTGATGTCCTTAAGAGCCTTGAGTGTTTCCTTGAACATGCACTTAAAGGATCATGGGACTTAGCAACTAGGGTTATAATTCGGGTAACTATACTTGTAACCCCAAGTAAGGTACTTATAACCTTACTTACTAAGTCCCATGATCCTCCAAGTAGCTCCTTGCCCTCAGGCGGCCTGAAGGCGCTGCTGAAGCGCGAGGATCTCTCAATGAGCTATTCCACCATGGCGGAGACGTCAGCTGCGGGCACTCTCCTGTTTGTTATTTTTGAACTTACGGAGAAGGGTGTGCGAGAGTCCGACCGCGTCATGGAGCATTTCTTTGGCTACTTTCAGACCTTGCAGAAGGAGGGTGTTAACAAGAATATTCTTGAGAAGATCCAGTCGCTGAACCAAGTTATGTTCGATTACCAAGATCGGTCGGGATCCGAGTCTGGCTATGTGACCTCCATGGCAGGCTCTCTACCGAATGCAGAACCACGCGATGTACTTACAGCTGGCACCCTAATTGATGAAGTCGACACGGAGCTTGCAAGCAAGTTGCTCAACAGCATCAAGCCAAGCAACATGAATGTTGCGCTGGTCACATCGCAAAGAACTTCGCAGAATGCTCTCGCGCTTCAGAAGCATGAGCAGTACTACGATTTCAACTTCTCCGATGAAGCCTTGGATGAGGGGCTGTTGCAACGGCTGACTTCCGCAAGTGCCACTGGTCTGCGGGAGCCTCCACCGTTGGCGTATGTTCCTACCAACCTCGAGTTGATTCGTGAGCCCGGGCCTACTCACCTCCCGGAGAAGTTGCCGAAGAAGAACGTGGAGCTCTGGTGGCTGGGCCTCGGGCCATTTCAGCTGCCCAAAGCTCAGGTGCAAGTGAAAATCGCATACCCACGAAGGATCGGGTTCTCGTGAAGGAGTTAGATGTAAGTTACCATAATAAGGAACCCGTACTTTAACTCTCGATCCATACTATGGTATAACATCATAATCGAAGTCACCATGATAGGGATCTACAGTAGATAATATGGCTTCCTTCTTTTTGGCAACTTAACCTCGGAGGGTAACTTTAGCCCAGAGGATCATGGAAAGTCCTGCTCGGTCGATTCTGGCTGCGATGCACTCCCGGCTCGTCCAGATGCTAGGTTCTTGTTGAGGAGCTTGAATGTAAGTTGTCATAATAGGGATCTAGAACGGTTCCTTTAAGGGTTTAGGGTTTGGGGTTAAGGAACTTAGTTTAAGTTACCATACTCATGGGGATCTATTATCAATAACATGGTTCCTTATTATGGTAACGTGAACTTTTAACCCCTAACAAGAACCCAGGATGGTGTTGGAGGAACCGTCGGATGCGTTCCAAATGTGCGGTCTGAGCTACAGCGTCGGCACCGGCCACGATGGCCTGAGCCTGTCGTTCTTTGGGTTCAATGAGCACCTTCTTGAGCTCGTGCGCCTTGTCCTGCCGCAGGTGAGAAGACCAAGCGTCTCTCAAGAAGACTTTGACATGGTCAGGCGACAGATGGTGGTGGATTTGTCAGATGTCACGAGCCAGCAGCCTTATCAGCATGCAATGGAGGCCTTTGACGTTGTCACCGTGAGCGGAACACATTCCAGAAAAGACCTGTTAAAAGCAGCCGGTGACTCTTGGGCCGTGAGCCTGTCCGAGCACGACGCAATGCTGGAAGACATGTTTGCCAACCCAGTGGTCACACTTCTTGCGTCAGGAAACCTGAAGCGCGCCGAGGCAGAAAGCTTGGCAGATGAAGTGCAGGATATTCTTGGCAGGAAGTCCGAACCGCATGGGTTCTTGGCAAAGATGTGGTCATTCTTCGCGAACCTATTCTCAAGGAGCCAGGTAACTGCGACCCCAGATGGAATCGAGCCGCGCCCGCTTGTCATAAACCCAGGAAAGGACATTGAGGTCCGGGTGGAGAACCCCATCCCCGGCGATCCCAACTCGGCAACCATCGTAGCATACCAATTTGGAGTGCCGTCTTTAGCTGATCGTCTTCGCTTCAGCTTGATCTCTAGCATCATTGATCGACCAGTGTTTCAAGTCCTGCGCACGGAGCATCAGCTGGGCTACATCGTCTTCGGCTTCACCACTGTCCATCTGGACATCCTGGAGATTCGTGTCCTTGTTCAAGGCTTCCGGGAGCCCCCTGACGTCGTTGAAAGGCTTATTGAGTCCGCGGTGGCGAACCTCACCTCCACCTTTGCATCTTTATCACAAGACGAGTTCAATGTGAAAAAGGCGAGTCTCCGAAGGGACCTGCAGAAGCCGCCGGCGAATCTGCCAGAGTTTGCAGGGCGCTTCTGGGGTCAAATTTGGGATGAAACTTATTGCTTCGACAAGGTGGACAAGGAGCTCCAGCTTTTGGGCAGTGCAGCGTTTCAAAATCCACAGTCTCTGTTGGAGGCGCGCGTTTCTCCTGCGCCAGTCTGTTCTTCGACTTCAAACTATTGGTCTGCTCAGGTGTGGAAGAACACGACGCAAGTCACCAACACGAGCCGTCCCAAGAAGCTTTCAGTGAAGCTTTTCGGTTCGCCTCTCAGCAGATGCAGTGCATTTTCTCTGCAGCACATAGTCTGCGGGTGGACGAGGCTGCATTGTCACGCCAGGTGCAGATGAGAAGACCGGGTCGGTTTCTATCCCAGAAGTTCGCTCCCGCCAGGACAGGCAAGGAAGCTCAGTCTGCCCGAATACATCCGAACACAAATCGAGTTGCTGCCGGCCGCATCGCGTTCCATTAATCACAGCATCCACATGCAACTGGTAGCAGTTTGAAGGACCAGGAATTCGTCACAGATGTCGAACATCCTCAGATGGAGGACTGGAGTTTTCAAGGCTTCAGCAGCATGGACTCAACTCGTGTGCTGGAAGTGCTAGATAGTCAAGGACCAACCTCGATGGCCGCACAAATTCCTTTGCGAATGAGAGGATGCTTGTCAGGTGCGGAGAGGCAAGAAGACACCGACAACTTGCTCCGTCCACTGCTGACGAAAAAGTGTGCATTTCGCTCAGATCATGTTAGCATGCCCTCTGCTCGGACTTGCTTGACTGTCCTTTCGTACGGTGCATGCTCGAACTGTGCGGCAGGAAGCAGCACGGACGCTGAAGTCAGACAAGTGCGATCCCCGACCAGGCCTCCAGGCTGTGCATTGAAGACCATTTTGATGAGTGACGAGGCCATGCGATCTCTGGTACAAGCGCGAGAAGCTTGCCAAGGCGTCACAGCAGCTGTTCGCCTTCCCGCCTCGGCTTCGAGTTGATTGCCCGGGAAGGTGAAGAAGCTGAAAAGTTGCCTCTTGGACGCCGGTGAAGTGGTGTACCTGCGGCGCACCGAGCTCCCGAATGTGTGTTGGGTTGTTTCATGTCTGCGATGGGCTGGTCTTTGCTGAGCAGGCCATCCCAGTGGCACCACGGAACTTGCAACGTGGCCAGCCTTAAATCTTAGACTCCGGGAGCAGGCTGACAACAAAAGCGTTGCATGCCTTGCAGGTCGGAGAGTTTTCTGTTGGCTTGGGCTACATTGGTGCTTTGGACCATCTTCCCAAAGCTCCTTCTCCGCAAGACACGGCTGACACAACTGAACTGTTTTCAGCTCGTGCCGGAAGTTGGGTTCTGCAGGTAAGCTGGGCTGCAGCATTTGACGACATGCAGCTAGGTTGCAGTGAGACGAGGGCATTTTGCAATGATCCAGAGCCTGCATCAGACGCAGCCAGCTGTCAATGTCGTGAGCTGCAAGAGATGCACACTCGCATCTTGCCTGTCACAACAACAACAAAGGCCTGGCTTGCAAGAGGCACTGAAGGTGGGACGTGCTTCCCTGGGCCGATCAATACATGCCAGATTCGGGCAGCTTTCGAGGCCGTTGGCGACACTTCTGCTGCCCTTGCGGTGAAGGTCAGATTTGTGGCGCGAGTTGAGCCCCTACCTCCCAAAGGAAACCACCCGGCGGCGCTGGCCAACGTTGCATCAGTCTTATACCTTGACGGTCCTGATTACAGCATAATACACCGCAACAGCCCGGACGGAGCCATTCACGATGTTCGTCGCGACGACAGCTGGAGTTCTGCCACGCAGGATCGCGAAGGCAAAGAGTCTGGGTCTCAAACGCAGGAGAGCTGGCATGAGATGTGCGCGTGGTTTTGACCGCTCTGTGGTTCAGGCTTTGGCGTTGATCGTACAGTGCAGGGTGATAAATTCGGGCTGCTAGGTTTTCTTCTCTCTCTCTCTCTCTGTCTCTGTCTCCCCATGTCCAATGTCGATGTGGATCGGGCAGCTTTACGCGGCACCTGTTTTCCGGCCGTTCTTTTCCCATGCCTTGGTCGGTTTCCGTCCGTGAAACGGTCTTCCCAGGCCACTGCACTGGGCTGCTCACCGAGGCCATCGGCGTATGGTGAGGCAGAGCACCTAAAGGGAACTCCAGAAAGTTGGAATATGGTTTCAGGGTAGGATACCTTATAATTTACCATAAAGGGGTTAGGATAATCATATTCCAACTTTCTGGCTTTAACTTTAATTCGCGTGCTTGAGCAATGCCTCTCTGGATCTCTTCTGATGCAGGGAACTCCTCCAACTCCGTGCAAACCCTGACGGGAGAGATAATCACGGAGCAAGGCCAGGATCAGATCGGGAGCAGCCTGTCCTTGTTGCATGCTCGCTGGAGCACGTTTGCCCAACAGCGGGTCTTGCTACTCGCGTCAGGGCCTCGCATTTGGCTGCTTTCGAAGGTGCGAATGTGGTCACCAGCATGCTGGTCTGAAGTTTATGCCTCATGACAGGCAAAGAAAAGGCACTGCGAGTACTTCTGGAGGCCCTGCGATTACACAGCAGATGCGATCGCATGGATGCAAGTGGGTTCGTGTGGATGGGAAGTGGATCTGTGAGCGTGTTTGCGTGCACCGAATACTCCACTGCGTGGCACGGGCGCACTCACGAAGAAGACAAAGAAAGAAGAAGAGGATCGAAGATTTCGGCCGAAGGGAAACATGTTCCAGGGTCTATATGCCAACCCAACGTTGTGTAGCATCAGAGGGTGCCAGCTTGTACGGCACTGCACGGCGCTGGTCCTCGGCAGTTGCATTCCGAACGACGGAGTGTTGAAGCTGCGAGTGCCGCATGAAGCTGGCCAGAATTCAGACTGAATAAGGCACCTATACTTATAACTCCAATTGGGGTACTTATAACCTTGCTTACTAAGTCCCATGATCCTCCAAGTATGCTTTCGCCGGCTTCGCAGGACCACCGGCGGCTCGCCATGGCGCGTACTTCTGGGGGTGCTGAGCCAATTCACCTCGCTGCTACTCGAGGTTGGGGCTGCAACTTGTCTCTTTTGACTCCTGTCGTCATGTCGTGATGGCTCCGGCATGCCTTGTGCAGGTCACACGTCGATCGCCGGACACTTGAACATATGGCTCGTTTGATCGTTTGCTTTGAGAGTGTGTGTGTGTGTGTGCGCGCTTAGTGACGGAGAATGCTTTTGTAGCGAGAAAGGGGAAACAAAGCCTCCTTCCAGGGTCGAAACAGAGAAATGCAAACTACAATCAAACCTTTACACGCCATGAGTGGTTCGGCAAGCGACGAGGCAAAGCTGCTGATTTCGAAGAAGGCTTCCCCATCTGCGCGTGTGTGCCTCAATGGCTCTCTCCAGTCATTTTTGTCAGACCGTGGTTGTGACAGACCTGCTTCTGGACAGTTGATGGCTTGATTTCGATTCGGGACAACGCGTGAATGCAAGATGATACCGACATCTGGCAAGAGCAATGGATGGGCATCAGATAACATCATTGATTCATCGACTGGCAGCCAGGTGACAATAAGGGAGCAGAGCCTCTGCACATGGCCGTCAGGCTCTCAGACTGGTCCGGGGATGCGAGCCTCTTCAGTGAAATAACAGCAAGGCGTATGAAGGCCATCTTGCCATGGTGGACCTTCTCCTGGAGCGGCTCTCAGCCGTGGTCAGTGAGACCGAGTGAAGCGACGGAGAGACAGGAAGCATGTGTGCTGAGTATGAGCATCCAACATGTTCCGTGATTTGAGGGTGCCAGCGCATGGACAAGGGGGGAGGGGATGGGGCGGGGTGTAAGAGGCAAAGCACAACAATGCGCACATCAGATATTTTGGGTGGGCATGCAGACACAATGACCTTCAAATGGGTGAGGAGTGCCATCAAAATTGCTTGCTCACCATCAGGACTTGACTTGCATTGGTTTGTTTAGCTGAGACGACAAGACAAAGACCCCTAAACCCTAAACCGAGATGCCACATGGCAGTTTCCGAATATTAGGGGTACCTTATTTGGGGTCCTTATAATGAGGATCCTACTATCTAGGGTACTATATTAGGGCCCCCTATTTTCGGAAACTCCCACATAGTGCCTTTCGCTTAGCAGAGGCCAGCGGAGCCGCTCCTGATGCTGGTTCCGACGCCGCTCGGCTCGTGAAAGATTCCACAGTGACTTTAATGTGCTGTCAGCGGTGGTTACATACTACATACTATGTACATGCTACTATATGCCTTGTCTGCCCAGGATGGCACTGAGCCGGCGAGAGACCCAGCAAGGATTGCCTTCGTCATTTCGACAGAGTTTAGGGTTTGGGGTGGGCCATAGTGACTCCCCAGAGACTCCAATATCCCTTAATTAAGGAATAAACCTTGGGATCCTTCTACAATTTAAGGTCTATGCCCTAATTGAGGGATATTGGAGTCTCCGAGAATTCGTGAAACCCCAGCCACAGGCGAAGCTGGCCTTCGCGCGAGGGCACAAGGCCTCCAGCGGACTCCGGCTTAAAGGCTCATGGGACTTAGCAACTAGGGTCAGAATTAGGGTAACTATACTTATCACGACTTATAATCCCAATGAAGCTTCTTAATTGGCACTTAGTAACTAGGGTTATCATGAGGGTAACTGTACTTATAACTACTTATAACCCCAATTGAGGTACTTATAACCTTACTTGCTAAGTCCCATGATCCTCTCAAGTGGTCTCGGACTTCGGATTTCGCCTCGGCGTGGAAGCCAGGACCTGGCGCAAAAGCTGAAAGATGCGATCCCGAAGCCGGAGCGACCGGCAGGCCGCAGGAAGCCCAGGGGCTCACTTACACGAGACTTCTCTCAAAGGGGAAAAGCAGGGACCCTCAATAGGGACCCCTACCCTGTAATGGGCCATACAATGGGTATAAAACAGCTATATTAAAGGTGTATACCTGCGTAGGCATGGTCCATTCTGGGCTCCGACTTGGTAAACCAGGGATCATCTCGTTGTCTCAGTCTTTGCACCCGCAACCCAGACCACGCGACGATGTCAACAATTTCCGAGGCAAATCTTTGGGCCCACTCCACGAAGAGTTCTGACACCAAGCAGTTCATCTGCGTGTCTCGAGAAAAGCTTTGGCTAGATAGTGCGTCATGTTGTGGTGGGCAGCCGTGCGGTCAGGTGCATTCAGACACGGATGCCAGGGTTAAAGCAGCCGCTGAAACTCCAAGATTGTCCCGCAGCCGTCAGCGCCCAGCGGGGAGGACGGAGGAGGCTGAGTGCCGCGTGGTCCCGCCTGAGGCCTTAAGCTGCCAGAGTTCTCAGATTCCGCGGCATCTTTGCTTTTCAGGGCCCGCCATGGTATCGGCGAAGAACGTCGTGTTGGATGCTTGGTGCGGAGAGCCTGCAGGGCTTCCTCTGCAATTGCAGCCGAAGCCTCACGAACTGGCACCTCAGGCCGTTTACAGGCTGCTACAAGAAACGCAGCCATCGATTGCTTCCAAGGCCTCTTGTGGGATTGATTGTGAAGGTCTGGTTAGGGTCGGCACACTCCGAACCCGAGCAGGTTCCAGCAGCTGGAGATAGCTTATGATTTTCCGAAATTTCCACAAATTATGGCGAAGAGGATCGTTGCGTGACCCTCAGACACTTGGAGGTTGCACGTGTTCCCGAAGACGTGGCAGTCTACACAAGGGTGCAGCATTGTGGCCATGTCCGGGCTTCAGCACAGTGGCATGACTTCATCAATCTCCAGTCGTAAGGCGACATGCCACGTGTAGAGTACCCTTGATCAGATATGAGGCTGTTCCCCTATGAAGGAGTGGCCAAGCGACACCGTATTTAACACCCTAGCTTAGAAGCAAGCGGCCACGAGCAGGTATAGCACAGTGATTGAAAAGCAATGGCGCTGCCGTTTCAGACAGCTTTTGGACTGCCGCTACAGAGGATTTTGTGATGATGCGCTATGGATGCTGCGCATCACCGACTCAACGAGAGTGAAGCAGTGCCTGCCACCGACCCGAATGCCCAAGCAGTGGATGCACTGAATCACAGGCATTTGCCTCTGTGTTTTGGTGTGCTTTTGATTTTTGATACTCGCACTGTGGGACCATTTGCCGAAGAATGTGTCTCGGAGCAGGACCGAAGTGGTCGCAGGCTTTTGGAGGCTTTGTCTCAGAAGACTGCGCCCTTCGGAACCGGTCTTGGTGCCAGAGCAAGGACCAGGAGCTGAAACCGTAGAAACCATGTGGTGACCAAGACATCCCCATGCACATATACATCTACATATGCATGAATATATATATATATATATGGATATATATATATATATATATATGTATGTATGTATGTATGTATGTATGTATGTATGTATGTATGTATGTATGTATGTATGTATGTATGTATGTATGTATGTATGTATGTATGTATGTATGTGTGTGTGTGAATGTTTGGTATAGCATGTTGACATTCATATACATGTATGTATATATATATATATATATACACATGTATATGCATATGTATATATGCATATATATATATATATATATATATATTATATATATATATATATATTCTACATCTGTATATATACACATGCACATGTACAGAGGCAGATCTGCCCTTGAAGGATCGAAGCTCCTCGACAGAGCAGTGCAGCAGCTCTTCGAAGGCTGCCCAAAAGCAAGCTAGCGCTGTGAGATTGCGGCTTAGGGTTTACGGGTTCAGGGTTTCGGATTTAGGGTTTAGGGTTTCGGGTCGGCACCTCAGTCCGTGCTGAAAAAGGGTGTAGGGTTTCGGCCTCTGAGGACAAGGAACTGAGGGCCAGGCAAATCTGCAGCACAGGGGTACCCGGCAGTGGCAATAGGCCTGGATGCACAAAGGGTTTCGGTCTCGGGCAAGACGATTGCAAGTCGTAGACTGGCTAGACGTGAGCTCAGTAGCAAAAAACGGGTTCGGGGGTTCAGGCGTTTAGGGTTTACGGAATAGGGTTTGGAAGGGTTTAGTGTTTGGGGTAGGGATTAGGGATTGCGGAAGGCTTGGTCCGCGAAGCCTCGGAAAAGCAGAGACAGCGAGCAGCCCTGGGCATTCAGGCAGTGCAGCTGGAAGTAGTAGTGTGGTTTCAATTTATATATATATATATATACATATATACATACATATATATATATATATAAAATTCCTGTTTACCAGTATATGATGGCGTACCATACTAGTTGCAGGGCAGTCTGGAACGCATGCGTTGTTTCCGTGACAGGCGACGGGCGCCAAGGCCAACCGTGAGGCCCTCTACCTCGATCGGGCGCACCTTGATCGATGGGAGAAGTTGTCTCGCAGCTTCCTGGAGAGAGCTCTAGAAAGGATGCAGGCTCGGCATGGGCTACGCATGTAATTGGTACTGTAGGGCATGTGATCCATGATTAATTACTGTTATGGTCCATAATTGGTGTTGTAGCGCATATTACTAAGAATCATTGTTCCTAGTATGGTCCGAAACTATGGTCCATTATTGGTATCGTAGGGCATAATGGGAATCATTGGTCCAAAACTATGGTCCAGTTTTAAGACCCGTTGTTCCTATCATGGTCCGAAACTATGGTCCAGTTTTAAGAACCATTGTCCTATTATGGTCCAAAAATATGGTCCAGTTTTAAAGGGGCTAATAAGAATTATTGTTCCTATTGTGGTTCGAAACTATGCTCCAGTTTTAAGAGCCGAACCAGGCAGGTGAAGCTCTCGACGTTTGCGAACTTCGGCGCCTCGCAGCTTTGCAACACTTCCTTGAGGCGGGGCACTACAAAACAGGATCATGAAACTTAGTAACTAGGGTTCTTAAAGGGGCTCCTTAGAAGGGATCTATAAAGGGGGTCTTGGGAGTACGTGAAAGGATCATGGGACTTAGTAACTAGGGTTATAATTAGGGTAACTAATACTTATAACCCCAATTAAGGTGCTTATAACCTTGCTTACTAAGTCCCATGATCCTCCAAGTATGGGTGCAAGGTTTCGATCTTGGGGTTGAGGGTTTTCGGAGCACCAAACGGCAGCTCAGGCGTGAATGGGGCACTAAAATGTGCAGCGTCACCTTGCGCCCAAAATCGCCCAAACCGCACGACTTACAAAACCCCGTAAACCGCAAGCCCTATAGGTCGTAAACTCTGCAAACTCAAACTTTTCCGAGCCTTCAACCCTATACTAAAAGGGTTTAGGATTCATACACCATTTAAAGACTCATAGTATATGGGTACAGGGCCTGCAAGCCTCAACATCTCAGGTCGATGTTGCTGACTTGTACCTGCCTGCGCACCAGCGGTGCAGTGAGGACGCCTACCTGCCCGAGCCGCTTCTGGGTTCACGTGAAGGGATTTAATGCAAGTTACAAGGAGTTTAAGTTTAAGTCAAATTACCATGATAAGATAGGAAACTTAATTCAAGTTACCATATTAGGACAAGGAAGTTAAGTTAAGTTACCATACTAGGATAAGGAAGTTAAGTTAAGTTACCAGAATAGGATCCATAGTAAAGAATATGGTTTCCTTACTATGGTAGCTTAATTACACTCGGTCCTTGACACGAAATTCTAGGCTTTGCGATGTCTGCGTGCAGTTCCTGATGGATGTCACGCGCCCTGGCAGCGAGGATGAGAAAGCTTGGATCCTTCTGAGGATTCTAGTTTCTGCTGGCAAAATAAGGGCAAAAGTTCATGCACGACAGTCAGCAAATACATATACATATACATCCCATATCCCCAGTGTGGCTTGTTTTTCACTGAAAGATGGAGGCGTGGAGTCTATGTGGTTCAAGGCGCCCGGTACGACTTTGAGGTCACTTTGGCAGAGTCCGGACTGGACATCGAGAAGCAAAGCTTGGAGGTCGAAAATCTCAAAGAAGCGTTCTCTTCCAGCGTGGCTGCCGATGTCCGGCGTCATCTGATTGAGTCCGATGCCGGGCACATGGCACGAAGGGGTGCAAACCAGCTGGTGCAGGCCGTCACGGCTCTGCTGACGCAGTCAGGCTTGGCAAACATTGAACGTGCTTGCGGGGACCACGTTATCGTCAGTGGTGGTGACCAGGAGCTTCATTTCGAACTGAAGCAGGGGCCACCAAGATGCTGGGATCTGGTCCTCTCTTGCAAGAAGACAAACTTCACCAGTTTCATGCTCAACTCACGGAGCGACGCCATGGAGGTTCTGGCTTGTTCTCCCAGCTCGCGAATCGAAAGGCACTCAGAGAAGTCAAGGGAGCCGATATAGGAAGCTGCAAGCTTGCGTAACAAACCTTAGGGCTGGAGGGGATGCCTGGATACCTATCCGAGGTTGGAGTCTTACCTTTTGTAAAGAATATGGCTTTATCTCCATGTGCTGCTGATTCCCGGAAGACATGCTCGTTTGCAGCAGTCTTCTGTGCTTTGGTTTCCTTTGCAGAAGAAACTCTTGGATAAGGTGTCCACAGTGCTGTTGGATAGCAGCGAAGCTCGACTGCCCTTCAGGTTTGCGGTCATACGCCTCATGGCGCAATTGCAGTCGCTCTCTGTGGAGGCGCCATTCTCACGGCATCGTTAGCTGTCCCAATGCAGGCTTCTCCACTTTGTTTTTTCTTCCCACTGCAGCTTTCGCTCTTGCTTTGTGTCAACTGCTTCTTCGAGCAGCTTCCTCTCTGCACCTCTCTACCTTTGTGGTCCCGCTGTGTAGGGTCTGCCACGCTCTTCAACAGGGCAATCTCGCGGCCTCGAGTAGACATATGTCCGGAACAAATGCGAAGCCGTGTCATTTATGGGTGTATGTAGGTAGAGGGGTATTGTTGTCATTGTGATTAATATTCTAACTATTCTACGTATTGTTATGGTGATTTTTATTGACAGTATTACGAATATTCACAACAGTAAGACCAATAGTATTACTGCTTCCTGGCTGGAGGTGCTGGAATTCCGTTCCGAGGTGGAGCTCCAGAACGAGTTGGGTCTGCCAATCTCACTGCTGCCTCCAGAAGCAGAGGTTCGACTAGTATAGTAGCGTAGTAGTACAGTAGTATATATTAGTACAGTAGTATAATAGTATAGTGGTATTGTAGTATTGCAGTATTCTAGTTTTGTAGTTTTGTAGTTTTGTAGTATAGTAGTATAGTAGTATAGTAGTATAGTAGTATAGTAGTATAGTGTTGCGAACGGACTGCGATGCCTTGTCATGTTCTAAGGTGTCACTATAAGAGCTGTGAGCAAGACCGTGTAAAGTGCAAGAGAAGGGGGCACGCTACGCGTCCCTCGACTCTAGGGGGCATGCTACGCATCCCTCATCTTTACCTTTCTATGTGACCGCCAACGCAACGTTTGGCTCAAGTCAATGCCCATAGCTAAGTGCTATATGTGTCTTCTATCCTGAGCAATCAGAGCTATCCCGTTGCACAGACGAACCGCCGCCGGCAGTGAGTGCAAAAGGAACGGCCGCCGGTTCTGCCTGCATAGGATCGCACGTGTGGAAGTAAGAGGGAGAGACAGGGTCCAGTCTGTGGAGAGTGCTAGCCAGCCACACCTACATTCATTACAGCTCTGGTGGGGAGAGCAGCAACCAAGTCGAGATCAATCCCCCACGCAGGTTATCAGCCGTACGCGGCTCTGCCTTTCTACAGCAACGACTACTTGATCTACTACGACCACAATGAACTCAGGATCAAGCCAAGATACGACAATGACTTTCGGTGCCGATGTGGCAGCGCCAGCCGTTGGTGAGTCAACAGCTGACGACACAGTGGTGCAATCCGTTGATAGCTCCACGGAAGATGACAAAGGTCAATCTTCTGCGCTTGCCATTGCAAAGGCAGTTCCCAAGGGGAAAGCAAAGAGTCTACCAAGAGCATCCACGCCTTCGCGTCCGACATCCACAGGTTCGAGGACGGGCAAGGCTCAGAACGACGGGCCGAAGCGTCTGGTTTTCAGGCACCTCGGACTACGTCCAGGGCCAAGGACAAAGGAGTCAAGACCTTGGAAAAGAAGTCAAGACCATCATCTTCGAGAAGCTCTTCAGCACGATCGAGGACTTCGGCTACTCGTGGGCGTGACAAGTCCATGACTTGGAATCGGATGGTTACCAATCAACCACGCGATGCTGACGATCTGGACATGACTCTGGATACGATTCCTGCGCGTGGTGATGCGTCATCCGTGGCCACGCCTGCAATAGCTGATGGTCCGAATGCCTACCAGGAACTGACGATTTCGCAACAGTTCGAAGCATCGAACCTTGCACAGCAGATGTATTATCGCAGTCAGGTGCAAGAATACGAAGGAATCGTCCAAACCCTGATGGACAAGATCAAGGAGATGCAACAAGAAGATGAAGGATCTGGAATTCGCATTGAAGAATTGGAACGACAACGTGATCATGCATGCTTAGCCATGAGGCACATCAACAATGTCAATCAGGAGATGAAGCGAGACTATGAAACAGCTTTGTTTCGCATGGATGAACAGAACTCTGCTCAACAACGTCAAGCACATGCCGTTGCCGAGGAGTTAGCTCAACAGCTACACGTGTTCCGCACGGAGGCAGCCACTAACTTTGTGCAGTTGGAGGCAAGAGCGCAAGGCGATGGTGAGCTTATGGCACGTGAGTATGAGCGTCTGACTCATGAACTTCATGAACACGCCAGAGAGAACTTGGTCCTCCGGTCAAACACAGCAAGTTCGGAACAAGCCTTACAAGCAATGCAGGAACGATTCCACTTGGTCAAGAACCAGGAGTTGCGGGCTGTGAACGAGATCCAAGGGCTAGCTGGAAACAGCGCAGCCATTGAACAAGAACGATTTCGGCTTCGCGAACGTCTTGGTGAAGAGGAAGAGTACCGCAAAATGGCTGTGAAGAGGATGCAAGAAGCAGAGGATCGACTTCATCAGAATGAAGATCATGCAAGGCGATCATTGCCTACCTTGCACGACGAGTTGAGTGAACTCAGGAAAACGCTCAAAGCACAAGAAGATCTTCAAGCGAGGACACGCAGCGAATTGGAGGCAGCGCGAAATTCCAATCAAGGAGGAGCGACGCGACCTTCGAGCATGCCCATGTCTTCGAGGACTACTGAGTCTGGCTGGGAGCACGTAGGAAAGGAAGTAATGCCTGCATTTTCCGTAGGAGATGAGGTACGATCCCCTGAAATACGGTCCCCAAGTCAAGTTAGTCCAGTCGCCAAAGAGAAGTTCGCATTCTCGGAATCGGACAAGGACAAGAACCTTGTGATGGATGGAATTCCATTCACCGGTGGAAACTTCTTCACTGGCCGCAGTTCAATGCCAATCGTGGCGGATGCAATGCCCGAGCACTACGTGCCAGGTGTTAGCAGCCCAGCACTTGCGCGTTCCACGCCTAGTGCAGCCACTTTGTTCGGCATACCAAGCGGATTTCATGGGAAAAGTGATGCGGCAGCCGTGCGTGATCGACAGCTACGCGAACTCTTGGGGGATCGCGGGATGTTGGGATCGAAGTCCACAGCATCGGCCAGCTCCTCAAGACCTGTTGGCATCGACGGTGTTACCGCATCTACGAAGGGCAACGACCTCGTTGGTCCCCCTGTCGCCTATGACGATTCTATCCATGAGGCAAGGAGGCGTCAGATCGAGAAAGAGATCGCGGAACAGTACGAAGAGAAGATTGCTGATCTGCGAAGTGAAGTACTCAAGGCTCAGAAAGCCGAACAACGTCTCAGAGCTGATCGTGATGAGTGGAGATTATTCGCTGAAACGATTCAGGAAAACCATGGAGACGATGACGGTGATGAAGCTGGCGACGAGAACGGAGAGGACGAGCATGATGAAGGAACCGGCACGGGGTATGATCCTCCAGATCCGCCTGATGATGATGATGACAAGAAGAAAGGCGGAGGGGGCAAACCTGAATCGGATCCTGGTTCGCATGCGCGTGATCCTGATGGAGATGCGGATCCTGAAGTCACAGAGGTGAGAATTTCCAGGAGGGAAGCCGACAAAGTGACCGTTCCTCCATGGCCTACTCTCACTCATCTCAACAACTGGCGATCCGTGTGCACGGCCAATGTCTTAGGGGCATCAGCCGACCCACATCATGAGGACTGGATGTTATGGCTGGCACCAGCGTTCAACCCATTCCCTGATGTCGAAGCATTGAATGATTCAGGACACAAGAAGTTCAAGAGCATAGACGTCAAATTGGGGATCGCCATGGTCGCAATGCTACGTGCCGGTGGTGACAAATCAGCTGACCTGTACCTCGAGGTGAACCGGAAGGCCAACGATTACATCAGCAGGCCTGACGTGAAGATCATCAAAGGACGACAAGTCATTGCGATGATGTACGAAAGTTTTCGAACGCATGATCGTCTTGACATGATCATCACTCTTGAGTATTTGGTGAAGCTCCAGTACCAAGGCGACAACAAGCTTCATACGTTCAAGCAGACGTGGTTGGAAGTTCTGGGACGGATGAGACCAGAGGACATTCCATCCAAAACAGCTCTCCGTGATTGCTTGTACAGCAAGATCAAGGACTCGCCCGCAATGAAGATGGAGTTGGGTATGCATTACGAACACTTGCCCTACAATCATGAAGATCGATCGTACGACAACCTGATGAAGATCATTGATCGTACTATCATGCGGAGACGAGAACAGTCAAATCTCACTCAGACCCAAATTGGCTTGCGCCAGATGCTTGAGGGCAAGGATTTGCTTGCTGCACCGGCCAAGGTACCCGAGAAACCAACGCCTAACGCAGCTCCATCCGCAAAGGTCAAGGCTTCGCCGACCAAGCCGGATAAAGCAACACCTGTACTACCTCAAAGCAAAGCGAAGAGTCATGCGAAGACCAAGCCAAAACCTAAGAAGAAGACGAGGAGTGAGTCAGCGGACAACAGAGGTGACAAAAGCAAGAAGCAAATCCGCTGCAAGTTCCATTTCACAGATGCAGGGTGTCGAAATGGCGATAAATGTCCATTCAGTCACTCGAAGAAGACTCCAGAGCGACCCTTCACGCCGAGGACGAGAACTCCAAGTCCATCTGGAGGAGGAGGAAACAGGATATGCTACTCGTTCAAGAATACAGGCTCGTGCTCAAGAGAGAATTGTCCTTTCAAGCATGAGGCAGCGGCTACCCCAGCTCCGGAACCAAAGGCAAAAGCTAAAGCTAAATCCGAGGCGAAGGCAGCTCCAGCGAAGCCGAATGCCAAGGCCAAGGCACTCCCTGCGGCACCCGCCATCAGATTGTGTCGAAGGTGGAATCCATCAGCTCCG